CCATGTGAAAAGTTCTATTCATTCAAAACCGTTAAAATTGATACGAGTGGATGAAGGGTCAAACGACGACGGGTTCACCCCAAACTTGGTGTGTTGGGGTTTTAGAATATGTAGATCAAGTTCAACGTAGCGGATCATTCATAATGTTGCTCAATCATGTGATTTTAGAGGCGTCAAGGAGGAAATCCTCTCCTATGACAAGGATACCCATTAATATCTCTCTCTCTCTCTCTCTCTATATATATATAGAGAGAGAGAGAGAGAGAGAGAGAGAGAGAGAGAGAGAGAGAGTAAAACTTGTGTCAACTTAAGTGGACGTCCACTAAGTTTCTTACCCATTGATGATCACTTGATTGAGCTGCTTTGTGGATGATCCGCTCCGTTGAACTTGATCTACATATTCTAAAACCCCAACACACCAAATTTGGGTTGAATCCGTCATGGTTTGACCCTTCATCCACTCGTATCAATTTTAATGGTTTCAAATGAATAGAACTTTTTACATGGCTCGACGGAGGGTCAAACCACGACGGGTTCACCCCAAATTTGGTGTGTTGGGGTTTTAGAATATGTAGATCAAGTTCAACGGAGCGGATCATCCACAAAGTAGCTCAATCAAGTGATCATCAATGGTTAAGAAACTTAGTGGACGTCCACTTAAGTTGACACAAGTTTTACTCTATATATATATATATATATATATAGACAATTGTTACTCATTTATGTTTTCTAATTAATTAACATGATTAACTAATTAACATCATATTCCGTTTGAAGGGTACATATCTTGACTTTTTACCCAAATTATAACCACTGACTATTATTATTGAGCAAATAATATCTTCATTGTCCACCTACAATAAAAATATGGATAAAGTTTATGGCTGGCAACAACAGCTCAAAAAAGTTGTAAGCTTGCATTCTCTGTAATTCTAAGTAGTGATGGCTCCTTAGGACGCGTTTGTTTGAGATGGAGGCTTGGTGAAAGCCTAACAAAAACCAGGCGTTTTTGGCTGAAAGCCTGACAAAAACAGTGGTTTTTGTCAGGCTTTCACCAGCCTCTTTTGCAAACCAAACTGACCCTTAGTGATTAGGGTCTGTTTGTTTGCTCCAAAAAAACGAAAATGTGTTGCCACCTCACCTTTCAAGAAAACCCCCATGTGCCACATGGGTTTTTGTTTTCAAGAGGTTTCCATTTCAAGTGTTTGTTTCATCTTTAATTTTCAAGAAATGAAATGCCACATGTGTTGCCATCTCAATTTTTCAAGAAATGTGTTTTCACACCAAATTGTGCTGAAAACACTTGGAAATGTCCCATCTCAGAATTATTAATTAGTAAAAACACTGTTTGAATAGTCATGAAGAGTAAAACGAAATATTTAAATGCCACATTTCTCATTTCCTTTTTCTTGTTCTCAAACAAACACAAGAAATAGAAATCAAAGCACTGTTACTATGGAGGCTTTTTTTGTCTGTTTGTGTGATTTGGCAGTGAAAAGGAACATTTTCTTTGCGAAACAAACAAAAGAAATGAAAACTAGGAAATGTCTTGAATTCATTTCAAGAGCTACATTTCCATTTCCGAATTTTTGTAGAAATAGCCAAACAGGCCCTAATTAACTTCCTGACAAAGACTGCAACACACTAACGTGACCAATATTTAATGCACTGCTGGCATCCAGGTAGGCGAACAAACAATCTGGATTCAACAAATGAGAAACATATATAGTAAAATGCATAATAAATAAGGGGCCTTAATATAGTTATTTTCTGCACTCCCTATCCTATTTTATCAATCATTTGCCCATAAAGTTTGAGACAGATACTTGGACGACCAGCACAACACTCTGAAAACAGTTAAAAGTATAAACAAAAATTTATAATTGGACGGCACAACTTGATCATACAAAGATCTCAAGAGGAAAAGAACTCCTCAAACCACACCAAGCAAAGTGCTGCTTTAATTTAGCACCTGTTCCTCTTTGAATTTTTACGGTTATTTTTTCCACAATATTTGTTCATTTTAATCGTGTTTCAAACATCTCCTTATCTCGAAACTATCCAGTGATCATATCCATTCGATAGATGATGTACCAAGAACCGCTGATCCTTAGATTTCAAAAGTTTATTCTTCCCTTGATGATCGAATCAACTATATATCTTGTGGATAGAGATCGCTAGATAAATTCCCCCCCATCGATCATTGCTTAGTGTTGTTCCAAATCTCTTCAAGTTCTCTCGCGAAAGATTTCTGATTTCCAACGATGACAGTGATATGGTCTTTGTTATCGATTATCTTAAGGTTGGCTCGAGGGATTCTGGACTTGACTGCTATGCTGCATTCGACGGGGAGAACCTCATCTTTTCTTCCATGGATCACGGTAACATTGCAGTCGAGACGATCTCTCACCGTGTCTAGATAACCATCAATTTTGTCTGCGCTGCCGCAGATGATATTATGCAGGGTGTGCCATGCTGCATTGTGCGTGTGACAGAAGAAACCCTCCATCAAGAATGTTTTTATCCTACATGTTACGAACAGGCATATATTAGTTATTGACCATTTGTTTCGGTGTAACTGTAACTCCTATTGCCATTAGCAACAACAGTACAATAGTAACCATAGGTCAACAAAGGAAAAATCAAAAACAAAGAAAGTAACGGGAGAGAAAAAAAAGGTTTTCACGAGGTCCAGTATTCAGCATGATTATCTTTGCCCTTAGAGTATGATCAGATAATGGTTCCACTAATAATCAGGAAAGTTTTGCCTACATCGGATGATTTGGATGTTTGGAAGTTTCTAATATGTCTCTCACGGTCTTGAGTTCGATTTCAAGCTGAGTTATAATTAATAAAAAAAAGGAGAAAAAGAAAAATAAAGACATTTTTAAAGCGGGGACCCATGAAAGAGATATTTCCAAGGTCAGTGAACCAAAGGGTTAGACCATCCTCTTGAGACTTGGACCTGTGTCTTGTTTGGTCTCTGTATGTGGTTTTCGGTGGGGGACCAAACTTCCAACAGTGGTCACGACACCACCAGGTAGTTCACCCCACAGAACGTACGTTTTTATTACGCCAACATGTTTACTGCAAGTTTAATGAAGTTGTGTCAACCAACTTCTAAAACTTTGAAGATTTCATAATCTAATCCACTTTTATCTCTTCCTATGTTTTGTCGTACCTCAATTTCAATCGAGGGCTATTAAAGGAGACAATAATTGTCGTTTGAAAGCTACTATACATTGAGATATGAAGCGTCTTAGTAATGAAATGTTTAGCATAGTACTCTACCAAAAAATAGATAATAACTGTACCAGTACCAACCATCAACATCCCTATTGTTAGGAAAAATTCCCCAATGACCCAAAATATAAGATCAACAGTGGGGACAGAAGAGGTGTCCCCCATCCTATTGCATAATGAGGTGGTCATCATTAATGATAACTAGCTTATTATGCAATATGAGGGGGACACCTTACCTGTCTCCCATGTTGATCTCATATTTTGGGTCCCTGGAGCAAAGTCATATTGTTAGTTGGATGCGGTTGTGCAAAAATTCCTTACAAATGAAATTAATTTCTTGATTAAAAAAATCAGCACCTTTTTGTTGTAAATTAATGATTTTCACATCCATTTCAAATAACTCAAGACTTATCATTTCACTTAGTTTATTTTCACTTGACGTTACGGGAGTGTTTGGTTGCACAATTTTATAGAAAAATTTTCTCAAAATGTCTGACCGTGACAATTCTGTAATTAAAAAATTTTTGTAGATTTTCGTAAACTACGTTTGGTTCAAAAAAAAATTACAGAAAGGTTTTCTGTAAATTGCAAAAAGTATCAAAATTTACAGAAATCAATTTCCTCTCAAATTGGGCGAAAATCACCCAGAAATCTAACACCACATTGACACTTTTCTATAAATTTAGAGGGTGTTTGGTTCAATTTCTACAAATTATAGGAAATCTTGCTATTTTCCATAAAGTTATGAGTCATTTTCTTGTTTTGAACCAAACAAGCAAAATTAAAAAAAAAACAAGAAAATTGGTACTTTTTGACTTCTCATAACTTTCTCTATAATTTTTTTTTAAGAAATAAAAGGAAATCATATTTTAGGTGGAAAACATTTCCTATAATATGTAGAAATTGAACCAAACACCCCCTAAGTGCATGATGCATGATTATTAGGTTGTCATCCTACCATCCGAAAGCCTAAAATCAAGCACTCTTATATTCTTCCTTCCCAATCAACGCCCACATGGTTTATTACAGTACGAATAAGAACTATCAAAATCTTTTTTTTTTTTTTTGTTAAAAAAGATCCAAGGGGATAAATTTCGACCAAGGGGGTATATGTCAAGGCACCTAATTTTTCAGTCACGATCGACTTAACCCCATCTAGATCTACCCGCCAGTAGAATCCCACACGAGGCACAAACACTTACTCGATCATTTACTCGATCATGAGAAAACCAGTGCTCATAATTAAGACGGAGAGTGAATTAATAGGCCAAGATAACAAGTAAGCAATTCGCCCCAGTTGATGGATGAACGAGAACTAGTACCTATTCCGGGTGATGAACTTGAAGAGGAACTCCCACACCCTGTGGTTCTTGCATATGAGCAGGCATATGGTTCTGCTTATGTGCTCGTACCAACAGGCTAGCGACGCCCCGAACGCCATCAACGGCCACACCCTCCTCGGCGCCACCTTCCGCAGCACGTACTGCGTCCCTTGCTCGCCCTTCGGCACCGGGAAGTACGGCTGCAAACGGATTCCAAACATTGAAAATTAAAGGTTACTTACTTTAAAGTAAATTATCATCATCATCGTCGTCGTCATTATTATCGCTTACCGGCGCGAGGAGGGTGAGCGATTTGATCGAATCGGGGTATTTCACGGCGAGGGCTAGCGCAAGAATTGACCCGAGAGAATGTGCTACGATGTGGAACGACTTCACGTCGTGCTGCTCTATGACCCTTTCGATCATGTCCACGTGTTCTCTGAGGGTGTACAGTGAGAACCCCAGTAGGTCGACGGCGAGCAGACGGTATTTCGACCTGGCCGACTCCGAAAAATTCGGGAACACCGTCTCGGTCCAGAATGCCGACGACGATATGAAGCCGTGGATGAAGAGCACGTCTTCCTTCGGGATTGAACCATCTGGGGAACAAAATTTTAGACATTAATTAGTTTATTGAGCGTGATCTATTTTATCTTATTTCATCAAAAGAACAGGACTAGTTGCGCATACATATATATTACTATGGAGATTTAGTCAGTCATACTTGCTACAGCACATACATGCATCCTCGTAATCTCAGACCACATTGCATTTTTTTGCCCTCAATTTTGAGAGTGAATTTGTCCCTTTTCCACTGGAAACGAAAGGGGATCTATATATCCTCACATAATTTCTAAGTGCTAGGTACTAATAAAATAGTTTCAAGAATACAGGCAGACGGTTTAAAAAAAAGAAAATTTACCGTCGGGGCTTTGGACATGGACATAGAGAGAATTCCGGGATGCAGAGCTCCACGAAGTGCAGGTCTTGCAGTCGCAATCCGACCACCGCGGAACCGGATGCGACTGCTGCCCACCGATCTTCCCTTTTAACATCTGCACGATCGTCGAGTTTATCGTAACGGTCGTCGTGGCCGATCTCTTAACCTTCTTCCTTCTCAGCTCCTCGACGGTGGCACGAGAAATATCAGAAACAATAGAAGATCTGCAGTAGAGCGTATCGGAGATATCTTCAAGCTGCAGCTTGGAGGAGGAGCAAAGGCACACGATCTTCGAGCGGCCGTTGTTGCCGTCCGAGACGAGAATGTTGCCGCTGCTGGCGATCATGTCGTTGGTGGAGGAGGAGGAGCAGTAGCAAGGCTTCCACTCGGCCTCCTTTGCGTAGTCGGCGAGCTTGTAGACGAGGCAGAGGAAGACGTCGAGGAGGTCGAGAGCGGCCTCCTTTGCGTAGTCGGCGAGCTTGTAGACGAGGCAGAGGAAGACGTCGAGGAGGTCGAGAGCGGAGAAGACGACGAAGCTCACGAGCTCGTTGACGAGGCGGCCAACGAAGGCCAGCGACGATCTGAAGCCCATTTTGCGGATAATGTGACGGAATGAGGCAATGTGGGAGCTAGTAATTATTTGTACGTAGTGAAGTAATGAGTTTGGAGTTGGGAGGTTTGTGGAGGAGTTAAGAGAGAGAGAGAGAGAGAGAGGAATTGATTGTTTCATTAAGAGGGTTTGTTGGCCAAGGGGGAAAAGAGGTAGGTGGTGGTTGAACTCCCCGGGCCAACATTTTCCTTTGCCCACCCATTTGATACACTGCTACGACTTTTAATTATGAGTGTGGTGTGCGCGTACGTATTATGAATCTATGATCGATGTTGTTGGAGTATAGAAAGTTGTAACTGTGAAGTTTCACTAAAGCGTCGGAGACGTGGAACAGAGGGTGTCCGGGGCCTTTTCGACTAAGCCGTGCTGTAGTCACGATTGACGCTAATAATTCCGCACTACTCCAGGTGCATCTCTATGCGGAGCAGAGCTCCACCTCCTCACGGGCTAAAAACCCTTTTACCCATGCATCCACCGATGCTATTCTTCAACATCCGCATGAATTCGCGGCCGGTGAAATTTGAACCTGGATCGTTCTAATAGTACTGTGTGAGCTTAGAGTTACGATAAGGCGTGAGGGTCGTGTATGATTTGAACGCAACGCGATTGAGAGTATTAATTTTGAGATGATGTCAGAGCACGCGCTTCATATTTAAGTTCCACTAAATAAGATGAGCCGGACTAATCTCTTTGGACCGAATTGACTCAAAAAAACATTCAGTCCTATTTGAATCACTCAGTCCAAATTAAAGTATAACCATGAGTTCTTCTTTACTATATATCATCCGCTAACCATCATCGACTCTTATTGTTGGAGTAGTGAGTCTAAGAATCGCCCCAATCTGGGAAACCCCACTAATACCATCATCGACTATTTAAGAATGCATTTTACTTTTCATTCAATATAACTCATATTTGTCAGAGAGCAAGGAAAATGATGATGGAGCACTCCATGTCTCTTTAGGCTTATGTGTCCATTAAGGATATATTAATGTTTAGACGTTGGCACAAGTAATCTTACTTTGGATTGCTAGCTTGTAGGTTTTGATAATGGGAAATTTCTTGTTTTATTTTTATTTTGGTAGTACCTATAGAATCATCTATTAAGTTAATTTATTATTATTATTATTATTATTATTATTGTTGGATGAGTTAGATTGTAGGAACTAAATATAGGAAGCGAAGATTTTAAAAGAAAGGAAGAACTGATCACTAAATATTAAGTAACTTGATCTAAATTGTAGGCAAGCTTTTAAAAATGCGCTTAATTAAACAAGTTGTGTGCTTTTGTAGTACCTATAAGCTCTCCTACAAAGTTAAATTTGCATATAAAGAAATAGGGTGGCACTAGGGACACACCCCCAACCACATCCCAAACCACACTCCCTCTCTCATATGCTACAGTATACCGGGCTCCACATGGGATTTTAAAATTTTAAAATCTCATGTGGGGCCTAGTGTACTGTAGCATATGAGAGAGGGGGTGTGGTTTGGGATGTGGTTGGGGGTGTGCCCCTATTATTTTCCAAAGAAATAAAACTTGAGTACTCCAATATGATTTGCTCTCAAGGAATTATATATATACTACGCATTTGTATAGCTAGCATTGATGGAACAAGTTATCTCGTGTTTATTGCTGCTATCCGTACACATCAAATGAGAACCTTTTCTTAATTTTCAAGTTTATTTACTTAATTAAACTTCAACTTCAGTTTTCCCCCTGTCAAGTTGTAGTGATGTGTGTAAAAGATTTGTCAAAAAATTTCAACTTCTAATTAACTACTTAATTAGATGAATAAGATTACATTCAGGTAACTACGCATGAACTTCAAGAATTACAGTAAAATAAGAGTTGGTGCATGGTTCTTCTCTTCTCATAAGCATGCGCCTAAACTGCAGTGGTAGTAATATAAATAGAATTGAATAACGTGAATCATAGGAATATTAGATGGATAAATCAACGGTAGGTACGTACTTCTTTTTCCCCTTTCTTCCCTTCTTCCTTTTCCTTTTTTTTTTCCTTTTTTTTTTTTGCTAATTTGTACTACAAGTTGCTTGTTAACATCAAAACATTGAATTATGTTGACCGTTTCCTTGCTTGAGTGTTTACAGCTGACTAAGACACTTCATTAAAAAAAGAAACTTCAAATTAAATGCTGTTATTTTCAGCTAGCCTTAGTTCTAGCTGTAGAAATTAAATTAATATGAACATTCTATTAATGGCCAGCGCGTTATTATCTTAGAGGACAAATAATTCCCAAGTATCTTTTCTATCTTTTAATTAAATTTGAATCATCTGTACTAGAGACAAGGATAAATTTAAAAAAAACCAGATTAACCTTTGCATGAAGATTAGGTGCAAACCAATTACTTTGTATATATTTAAATAATTTTTTAGTTAAGGAAATGGCTCAATGTGTATATAGATTTGTATCTATGAATATGTCTCATCATCAATTATCACCAAAATTTATTCCAGAGTATAGAGTATAAAATAGATCCATCATATTTTGCTTTAAAAAAAAAAGGAGGTCCATGCATGATATTGATGTTTATCATTTTCATTTAGTTACTTGGCTCTTGCATAGCAATTTGAATTGTTTTTTAAACCAATAATTAATATGTTTTCTATTAGAAGCAAAGCATTGAGTAAGCATTCAAAAAACAATAGGGAGTCTTTTTTTTTAATAACTCATGATAACTGAATGGTAAATTTGATGAGAGAACCGTATACGTCTTAACTATCCATCCTCTTCCTGATCTTTGTCATCAAACTTAGAATTAACTATCACATTTCGGTGCAATTAATATATAGTCATTCTCAGAAACATATACATTTGCTAAGTTGAACGTGCATCATGAAACTCTGTTTTTTTTTTCACCCTTCATATTATTTTGGATTGATGGAAGGAGAGTATATGTGTACAACCTCAGTTTTCTCTCTTCAATGTAATCTAATGAGAGGCAAAGCCAAAAGAAAGCAGTAAAGGAAAATTTGGAAAGCACACAAACCAAATTTGCTAAAGTTGTGTTGTAGTTGAAGATGTTAAAGTGAGGAGAAAGGGGCTTTTAGGAAGAGGAATTAGTTCGAATTCATTTCTTTCAAGATCTTGATGTGCCACCTAGCAACCTATAGTTTCCTTTTCTCACAACGCTACACAGATGAAATTAATAGAGAGCCTCTTTTGTGGATGAAATGGTGATCGACGGTTCGAAACAAGCAGTGGACTAATCAATTAGTTCACAAGATTTGAATCATAGAAGCATGCAAATAACGACTTATCGAGTTGTTGATTGATATTACTCGGAAGGAAAAAAAAATGTAGGGGCATTTTTGTTCAAATTATATGCTGTAAAAAAACAGAGTGATGATGTTTTTCTGAGTGATTTAATTCCAGAGATATTCTTGGGGTAGCCCAGCAGGTCATATGGTAAAGCCATGTCGTTCCCTCATGCAGGGGGCTTGGGTTCGTTTCCCGTGTGCGCCGAAGGTGATCAGATAAAAAAAAATTCTAGAGATTTTCTTAGAAAATTGTTAGGAAATTCATCCAAATTAATTAAGAAATATCAAGAGTTAGAAGGTCTTGCTTGATTGGCTTTTCTTGATAAGCTAGGGTGCATTGTCATTTAAAGCATACCTTAATTACCTACATTTTATGTAAATGAGTAATTATATTTTGGAGCCCCTTGAAGCTTTTGACAACCAACCAAGAAATATGGTGAACTGATTTCCCAAGTTCATTTCAAGAAGAATTCTCATTCCACCTAAGCTCTCGAAATTTATCTTTAGTCTCCAAACATTTATCCCTACGTTAATTTCATGGCTCAACCCGCTGGTGAACATGCATGTATACAAATTTATTACTTCTAACCCTCCCCCATCTTGATCAGATTTTACAAACATACTTTCAAATTACGTACCCTTCATTTTCTAATTATTGGCTTCAAAATCGTTGGATACCATATCTATGTTTTAGATAGAGAGAGATGATGACGACGACGACCACGACGACAAACCAGACAACTACCACTTCATGTTGGTTATTAGTTCCAATAAAGAGATGATTATGATGATAATAATCACTATATTGATTTCTCATTTATGACTCCGTGTTATAATATATAGTTTCTAGTTTACTGTTGACATTTTGTTGTTAGCCGTGTAAATGTTATGCTCTAAAAGTCAACCAATGACTCAGTCATGAATCAATATCATAGGGTAATAATATTCATTCATATTGGGAATAGTTCAAATTGAAGTGCTCATCATTTGATTGGATCAAAACTTTCACATGAATCCAACGAACATTAACAAAAACTAACGTGAAAACGGACAAGAAAGGAAAGAGAGAGAGTCAGAGAGACACAAGCGTCTTGAGTCAGATCAGAGAAAGAGAGAGAGAGAGAGAGAGAGAGAGAGAGAGAGAGAGAGAGCACTCTAGAGTCAGAGAGACAACAAGTGTTTTGAGTCAACGTAATTTCAGGGAAAATGTCAACGCTCAACAACCTTGGGAAAGTGCATAGATAGTGATGACAGCATAAAGGATTCTGACTATCGGAAGTGCATAGTTTTTTTTGGGAGAACTCAATGCCTAATAATGAGTGAACTTAGAAGAAGATGTTTTACACTTGTCAACATTAATTTCAGACAAATTACAAAAAAAAGTTATGCATGTTTCTTTCTACACAGTTCTAACCGATGTGTGTTGTTGACATGATACCATGATATACATGCTTAAACTATTATTATCCATAATTTCATTAACAAAATCAGATCACAAACTGATGACTTAAAATGTCATGTCATTATGCATTAGCCAAAATTGGAACAAGGCACACCTAATCTCCTTTTAACTCGAATGAGAAAAATAAGATAGAATTAGTTCTCTTACGCAAATAAATATTATTGGACGCCTTGAGAAAGACTAAGTTGATAAAGTCTGTACATATAATTTTCCTTCGGTGCATTTTCTGTAGTCTTTCTTTCTCCATGCATGTATGTATGTCGAAGGATCTCCAGGTTGCTGGCTTTTGTACTTGTGATGTGATGGTATCTGTTGCTTCAAGGTGACTAGATTCCAGATTCATAGCTCTTCCCAAGGAAATGTAGTACCATCTTAAGCCGAGCTCCTTTGGCCGTTCTCGTCTACAGTTAGAGGGGGGAAAAGCACGCTTGTGATCTCACGGGGGTGTCTCTGTTGGTAGAGTTTGGTAATAGAGTGTTCGCAGTTGGGCAAGCAGCGGATAGGGCGGCAGAGGTAAATGTGGGCAAACATGATCAAGCTTGCAAGGACAACCACCACAATTTCATCCCGTTCGATACGTTTGGTTTCCTTGCAGCTAATGCGGTGGAGTTCCTCAGGAGGGTACATAAATTCATGAATAGGAATGTCGCGACAGCAGGGTCAGCTGAGTACGTGTTTCGTAGGTTGAGTTTTGCGATTCAGAAAGGATTAAGGGTGCAGCTTGTTGTCCGCTTGTCATCATCACATGTATAATATTCAGTTTATAGATAGATATATAAGTATCAAAGGAAAAAAATATATATTAGAAGATGGACTCCCGATTGGATGAGGCCGTATCTATTACTTCATTGCGCTTACTTATTTCGTGGGCTTGGGCCGTATTGGGTAATATAATAAGGGGAAATCGTTTTTGTTTTTTCGGTGGATAGTAGCAAATCCGGTGGCGCCCATTGAAGCTCCGACCCCCCAACACAAAATCAAAATCAAAATCAAAATCAAAATCAATCCTAAAAAAATGCCAATAATACATCATCAACAACTTCTTCTTCATCCTTCGTGCACCCCAACACTCTCCATTCCTCAGACTAGAATTACAATCAAAATTAGGGCTTCCAAAGATCCCCAGCCTCTGCAGCCGTCGATCNTAGACCTCGGCAACGCCCGTACCGGCCTCGCCCTCAGCAAGGGTTTCTCCGCCCGCCCTCTCGCCGTAACAATCAAGACCAAAATTACAATTTTGCCCCTCTCTTACCCCTTTCTCTCTCTTAGGGTTTGGTTGGTTATGCTCAGGTTTTGGAGCTGAGAGGGCAGAAGCTTGAGCTGAGACTACTTGAGATTGCGGAAAAAGAGGTGCTTGATTTTGGATTTTGGTTATTTTTGGTGCAATTTTGTAATTTTGATGATGGGTTCGGTGTGATTTGGGTTTCTTTTAGGAAGTTGATGAGTTTGTCATTGGGTTGCCGAGGTCCTATGATGGGAAGGAGACGACGCAATCGAATAAAGTTCGGAGTGTTGCTGGGAGGATTGCGGTTCGAGCTGCAGAGAGGTATGTTTTCTTCAGTTGTTTGTTTTGCTTCATTATGTTTATAGAAGGATTTGCTATTTGCATATATTTGTTAAAGAGATAGAACGAAAGGATGAAGAAGATATAGTGTATAATTCACTGGTTATGAATAGATAGAGATCATTATATGTAGTAGTATTTACGAAGATTTTTCATGAAAACCACCTTAAAAATAGGTTGAATCGGTAGAAACTACCTTTGAAGTTTTTTATACTTAAGCCACCTTATAAGTGACTTCAGTTTTCAATCAACCACTTTTTGTCAATTTCTACTTGATTAATATCTAAAATACCCAAACTACTCTCATTAATTGCACATGCCTAATATGTGTTTCTCAACTACACATGTAATTAATGAGGGTACTTTGGGTAATTAAGGTAGTGGCTGAGCAGAATTTGACAAAAAATGGCCGATGGAAAACTAAATCCACTTATAAAGTGGCTTACGTATGTGAAGAAAAATTCAAAGGTTTTTTTTATTGATTTGACCTATTTTAAAAGTGATTTTCATGAGAACAAAACCCTATTTACAATCTACATGTGCCACAATAGGAAGAAGTTCAGGAGTTTCTTGATTTCTTCACTGCTACAAAATAAGAATGAGAATATTCTTGCAGACATCCATGAAATCCTCCAAGTTAGTTTAATGTTAAAAGTATATGAGGGGACACATTTTAAATCAAAAGTTAGTAAGTTTCAAATTTAATGATTTTGCTCCTTTGCTGATGGCTCAATGCTTCATGCAATATTACATTTGTTGATATATCTACCCGAGTAAAACTCTTATAAACTTAAGTGGATAGGAGCCGAGATTATCAATAACGGATAGCGTCGCGTAGCGGTGAGGTACTGCTAAGGCTATTTGCAGCAAAATAGCAGCAAATAGTGCATAGTCAAATAGTGATCCAATTTAAATATATTTAAATATTTAAAAAAATAAAAAATTATAGAAAAATCTAAAAATTCTATAAATGCGTGTTTAATGATTTATAGAGATTCTAAGCATGAAATAGATGTGGAACAATTGCATAATATTAACAAATTACTATAAAGAATAAAAAACCGTACATGTTTATCAAAAAGACCATTATTTATCCCTTGCCTTCAACTTTCAAGTCGCTAATACAAAAATTCTCAACAATAGAAAAACATTGATTAGTAACACCATCATTATTTTAACTATTTGAAACTTGACATAATATAAAATATTCAATCATAGATAAATGAGCAAAGCAAGATAAGGTCATGATAGATAATAACATTTTATGTATATTAAGCAAGCAGTAAAGATCAAAGTCCAAACATATGACATGTCCAAACTCCAAACCCAAAAGTCTAAATCAAAGCAAAATAAAAGCCAGAAGTCTTAGAAATAACATGACTAAAGTCTAAAATCAAGCAATGACTCATCATTACCCGTCATCCTCATCGTCATCAGCGGCGCTGAGTAGCAAAATCTCATCTCCCAAAGCATCATCGTCACTATCATCATCGTCAAATTGGATATCCTCATCTAACTCTAAGTCCTTAACAGATCCCTCATCACCGTCCGAATGTACCTCCTTGTAGGCTCTTGAACTAGAAGCCGTGTTTGCCCTCCTTGTGATCCTCCTTGGCTGCAACAAGTTGTCTACTCCAGCTACTTCGGAGATAACTCCAAATGGAATGTCAGTCCCTGGATAATAATCCTCTTTCTCGGAGTTATATCCTTCCACCACCCATGAAGTAGCGTGCCGACCATCTTTTGTAAGTAGGATGTCCCTCTTCTTTCCATCCTTGATGTATCCATCTTAGTTTTGATCCTCAAATTGAATTGCACATAGACTAGATCGCTCAATCTCTTGCTATCCAACATGTTCTTTTTCTTTGTGTGGATCTACATCAGCAAACTCCTCTATCAAGTTGTAGAAGATAACTCTACCATTAGAATGAATGCACATATTCATAACACATCTGTGCTTCCAATTAATCCATAAATCTGTCATCAATGTGCAACCAGTAGTCTCCCAAAGCTTCTTATGTGGTTCCAAACCAGCTGAAGTACGAGCTACTACCTTCTTCAACAAAGGCTCCCTCAACTGATACATTACTGCTCTCACATAGCCTGGACTAAACTGGCCAATGGCTTCACACATATTGCCGAACGAAGGGAGCGCCAATGCATGAAATGGAATCCCTGCTTCCTAGGTCCAAAGAGAGACCCGTTCGTGGACCAACTCCTTTCTTCTTTTGCACTCAGCTACATCGACTGTTGTTTGCTTCATCGTTGAAGTTGATGTAGGCTCCTCTAGCAAGAATGTAGCATGTCGATCGATGACTCCAATATCTCGGGGCCTCTTGTTTCTGATCTGAGTGATTTCTTCTACACTTAAAAGTCTGGAACTAGAAACATGGACCTCCTACATACGCTCGATCTCATATCTTATCTTGTCTGACCTCTTGTCATCACTTTCAGCCATTGCTGGTTTTACACTCGCTATAATGTCAGACGTCACTTTCTTACATAGTTTTGTATTCCTCGGGCTATCAGTTAAGTGTTCTTTATGGCGGGAAATGCCACTGATGGATTCATATCCACACAGAGTGCACTTGACCTTATTCTTAGGCCATTCCAGACAAATTCCCCAATCACATCTATTATCATCTGAAAGACGCGGATGTGGTAGCTGACCCGAAGCTCGAGCCTATCAATGAATTAAATGCTGTAGAGGACAATTACATATAATGATGTTGAAATTATACCTGAACAAGGAACAAATAACAATATAAGTTTTAGAACTTTATAGTTTATCATGTAACTGAAAGCACAAAAAGCATCTATGGTATATGAACATAGCAAATTAACGATACAACTCAAAAGTCAAAACAAGTGTAAAAGAAACCATTTCCCCAATTTAGAACCAATTCCATTAGACTCAAAACAATTGACAATGAAGTGATGAACAAATTATTAAATTAAACAAACACCCAAAAAATTTCAGCCATCAACATGAAATTCGGCAATTAGCCGTGAAATTAGCATGCAGTTACAAACCCATTAAGCATGCAATTAACATAAGCTTTTCGGCAATCATGCAATTTAGACAATAAATTAGCATGCAATTGAAGGACAGACACACCAACCATGAAATTGGCATAAAATTTTCAGCAATTATCCATGAAATTAGAATGTAACTAGAGGCCCAAAACAATTATCATCACTACTAATTGTGAAACAAAGTAGATGCAAAAATTCCCCCAAAACAAATATACCCTTTAATAATTCTCCCTAACATTACAAACTTGAGAAATAAACAAGAGTTGTTGGAAAGTTGAAATATTACCTTGAGTTCGATGAAACAATTGTTGTAGCGTTGAGGAGTTGAGAGGAACAGAGGCAATTGAGGGCAAGAGGTAGTCGAACTCAGAAGAGGGCTTCGTCAAGGAGATAGAGCAGAGGTAGTGAGAGGATCTGGAGAGGAGAGATGGAGATGTAGCTCGTCGACGAGACTGTTTGCTGCAGTGTCGAGGAGAGGAGATGGAGCTCGTCAAGGAGTTGGAGGATCTGGAGAGGAGGCAAAGGCGTGGTGGAGGGAGGCGCTTTTCTCCACTATTTCAAATGAATAGCGGTCCTTGGCGCTTTTTCTCACCACTATGGCCAAAATCGTTGCGGACAAGGGCCACTAACAATTGTAGCCGCAATTGTTCACTATGTACAACACGGATAGGAGCTCTTGCTTGTCCACTAATCTTTTTATCCACTAGATTTGCTTTGGGATTCATGTTGGCGTGTAATACATATCAATGCACGCTTCTCAAACATAGCTTTGATGTGTATTCTGAAGCACGAATAATTATTTACCATTCGGTCAAACAAATAAAAATGGACAAAATTTGTAGATTATAGCCCATTAAAATTATGAATTTTGAAATTTTCCTAATTAATTGTCATTGTTGGTTATAGCCCAAGAAAATCATGAATTTTAAAATATGCCTAATTAATTGTCGTTGGGTCAAAACCGATGAAAATGGATAGAATCGTGAGTTGCACCCCATGAAAATCATGAATTTTAAAGTACACATAATTATTTTTCATTGGATCAAAATGAACAAAAACTAACAGAATTCATGAGCTACAACCAATGAAAATTGCCAACTTTAAGATATGCATAGTTTATTGTCATTGAGTCAAAATAAATAAATTAGATAAAAATTATAGATTTATAGGCCAATGAATTCGTGAATTTGAATTACGCATAATTAACTGCCATTATGTCGAACGAATGAAAATAGGTAAAAATCATGCTTTATAGCTCATGAAAAGTGTGAATTTTTGAAATGCGCCTAATTAGTTGTCATTGGGTCAAAACTGATGAGAATAAACAAAATCATGGGTTATAGCCCATGAAATCATGAATTTTAAAGTACATATACTTATTTTCCATTTGGTTGAAATGAACAAAAAATGAAAAAATCATGAGTTAACTAATAACAAATGAAATTTGCGACCTTTAACGTATGCATAATTAATAGTTCAGGTCGATGTGAATTATATTGGACAAAAATTGTGGGTTATAAACAATGAAGTTCAAAATTTTTAAAGTACACATAATTAATTACCATTAGGACAGATAAATGAAAATGGACAAAAATCTTGGGTTATAGCCCATTAAAGTTACGAACTTTGAAATACACCTAATTAATTGTAATTGTCATGGATTATAGCTCATAAAAATAATAAATTTTAAAATACGCCTAATTAATTGTCATTGGGTCAAAAATGATGAAAATGAACAAATTTGTGGTTTATAGTCCATGAAAATAATAAATTTTAAAATATATATGCTTATTTTTCATTGGGTCGAAATAAACAAAGTGGACAAATATGCAAATGTAAAATCACAAACTTGGAAGTGCACATAGTTAATTGTTGTTGGATTGAAATGAACCATATTAGACAAAGATTATTGGATTATAGCCCATGAAATTCATGAATTTTGAAAT